GCCATTGCTATTAGGATGGAGGCCACTGCTATTCGGTTGGGGTCATTGATTGCTATTAGGATGCCATTGCTATTAGGTTGGAGGCCATTGCTATTAGGATGCCATCGCTATTAAGTTGGAAATATAGTTAAGTCATGTTAAGTCACTTTCCATAGCAGCTTCTTGCTCCTAGTAGTAAGGCCAGGAGCCCCTAGTAGCGTCCTTGTTTCACCCCAGGCATGGAAGTGATTGACAGTCTGGCCTTGGCCAACCTCCGCTTCGTCCGCCACGAAGCCGCGTGGGCCAAAAAGCTACGGTTCACGTCACGTTTCGACTCCAACGGCTTTGTGGGACTTGACCTTCAACAAGTGCCTGCAACATTGAAGTGCCTTACAAGAAGCTACTAGGAACAAGTGCATCGCTTCTAGGAACAAGTGCCTTACTAGTAGTAACAAAAAGCTATTAAAAGCTATTGCTGGCACTTGTTCCTAGTAGCAAACATTGTTACTACTTCAAAGAACTGAAACTGTTGGGCCTTTCACTTTTTGTGCCAAGAGCAAAAAATGCTCAACGGCCCAACCAAGGAGTCAATGGGTTACAAAAAAACTTCTCAAGCCAATTCAAATCATAAGTTCTTGTTCCTTTGCCAATCTCACACGACTTTGCCCGCCCTAGACTTAAGCACCCCCGAATTTAGAAATCAGAAGGTTTCCTTCCTTGCTATGTTCGCCTCAGGAAATGGACCCCTTGCTACTTCGCAAAGCTGTGCTTCTTGGAACATGAGTGTTTCTCACTGTCTCCTCTCTCTCTCTCTCTCTCGCTCATAGGCTCACAGCCCATGATGACCCCTCAGTTGGATCAATGTTGTCCGTTTGATGTGAAACATTTTGGACACAAAACGAAACTGCGAAGCTCCTTCGAGCTTCGCTGCATCGTTCTGCGAGATTCGTTCTGCGCATAAGCAGGCCAAGTTCTAAAACAGAAAAACGGTTCCTCACCGGAAATCCCCCGAAACCATAAAGCACCTGTGCTCTTTCAAAGCAATCCAACAACTTTGAAACTCTGGCCCGGTTTACACCCCCAAAGGGATGCTAATGTACGAAGGAAAAACTCTCAGAATCGTTTCACGAAGGAAGTGAGTGCGCTGGAGAATTTGAGATTCTCTCCAGAACGGACATGCGAATACTGGATAGGATTGCGACAGTCACCAAGGCTACCTCGAAGGCCTGTCAAAGTGGGTGAAACCAGTTCGACAAATGGAACATCGCTATTGGGTTGGAGGCCATCGCTACTAGGTTGGAGGCCATCGCTATTAGTTTGCATAGCGCTGAACGAACATGTATATATGTATATATATACATATGTAGATATATTGTATGTTTCTCCGGCCTGCCTCTCGCATGAAAAGCCAGTATATGATCAAGCAATGCAACCGCAGGGGGCTGCAAACATCCAAATGCAGTGCTTATTGCAAAACAAATGCAAAGGGTTTGTTGTAACAAGTCCATCCCATCAAGTCACGTGTTACTTAGGTGTTTATTGAGTACCCTGGGGCGTCTACAGGAGGCAGGGGATATCAATTCAATTGGAATTGATTCTAAACAGGCGTTCCAGATGTCTGCTCCCCTGCATCAATGAATTGCCAGTGCAATCTGTTTTTTTAATGCACGATTCTATCTCAACCCATGCATTGTGCACATACATATATACATCATGCTTATGACCAACTACAGCCACAGGGTTGATTTCAAGGATTACTGTGGTTTAGAAAATGCTGGTTTTATTTTTAATTGGTGGGATTTATAATATATATATATATGTTCTTGAACATGTTCTACGATTTTCCCAAAAAACTTATGTTTTTTAACTATTTATTTGCTTAGAAGGATTCGGGGAGGGTCCAGGAAGCCAGCAAGCAGCTGAACCCACCAAAAACACAGCTGTGTTCATTCCTTTTGGAGGCCATCTGACCACCAAAACAAAGGGAACTGTGAAGTTTTGGAGCATTGGCCTGCCATTCATTCCGGAACTCCCGCGAGAGCGTCAAAAATAGATTTCAAGCAAAAATTGAAACCAAAATAGAAATACAATATTTTAAAAAATAAGACACACATAAACTAACATAGAAAACGTATATATATATATATTATACAATGCTATGTTTGACATGTGCTTTCTGTGGCTTGCCAGACTGAGCAGTCGTGTCGTGTTCCCCAGCACCTGAAACTGGGAAGCCACCTCTGTGAAATCAAAATCACAGTGTACCTATTTTTGCGGCTAGTTCAACCATGTTCAACCATAGCCATCTCTTGAAAAGCTTGAAGATCTTCTTTAAAAGAGGAAACAAGTTAGAAAAAAATGTGCAAACAGGTCAGGTCTAAATGAAAAATCAAGAGAGCAAGACTGCTTTCTGTCGATAAGTTGTTCTCTCCGATTCGATTTGATTCCATACCACTGCTCGATCCCAGTTGCAGCCTGGCACGCTCAAGCTCCAAGCGACAGGCGGCCTCAAAACAGTGGACAGGTGGACTTGACGGAACGTAGAACTCAAAAAGCTCGAAGAAACGCCCTATAGAGTGTCCTCTCAGAGAAAATCCTTCAAAATCCATTCGGTTGGAGGCCATTGCTATTGGGTTGGAGGCCATGGCTCTTAGGCTATAATGTCTCACATACCCGTTGCTACGTCGCATGGATGCACCTTAGTAGCATCCTTTGCTCCTAGTAGCGTTGCCCTTTGTTGCTAGTAGCTTCTTGTTACTAGTAGCGATGCCAGGAGCCCCTAGTAGCGTCCTTGGCCTACAAACAAGAGTGATGGTCCTTGCGAAGAAGCCGAGACGGGAACCAGCGCTTCCAAGAGATCCGAGGTGAAACTCATTGCCGCCTCCGCCACCTTCCGCTCCGATGATGTTCAAGGCAAAATTCAAGGCAATCAGTTTAACATTCCTATGGTCAATGCAAAAAAGGAAACAAAGGAACCATCAAAGAAGCAAGACATAATTCACCAACTACTAACACGAATTTCAGATCTTTTTGGGGTGCTGGACATGCCTCCCCTTTGGGTGATTGGCGCACTTCGTCTGCAAGGTCCTCAGAAGAAACAGCTCAATGTTACGTTCGATATCAATTGTGTTTGGCCCGGCTAGCCACTCACTGTCAGTCCTCATATCGTTCTGGAGGGCTTCCGTGACCATCAGGGTAAGTCGTCCTTTTCCCTGACAAGAAGAGTCTCACTCAGATTACACACAAATGGTGGAACTATGTGGCACCATCAACTGTGGCATTCATGAACAATTATGAAGCAAGGACGCTTCTAGGGGCTCCTGGCCTTACTACTAGCAGCAAGGACGCTACGACGCGAGGAGCTCCTGGCCTTACTACTAGGAACAAGAAGCTACTAGTAACAAAGGGCATCGCTACTAGTAGC